TTGCTGCTATGAACATTGGGGTGCATATGGCCCTTTTTTTCACTACATCTGTGTCTTTGGGGTAAATACCCAGGAGTGCAATTGCTGGGTCATAGGGTAGCTCTATTTTTAATTTTTCGAGGAACCTCCACACTGTTTTCCAAAGTGGCTGTACCAACTTGCATTCCCACCAACAGTTTAAGAGGGTTCCCTTTCTCCACAGCCTCTCCAACATTTGTTGTTTCTTGCCTTGTCAATTTTTGCCATTCTAACAGGTGTAAGGTGGTATCTCAATGTGGTTTTGATTTGAATTTCCCTAATGGCTAATGAGGATGAACATTTTTTATTTCAACAGGTGATTGTTTAGCTGGGCCAGTGTGTGGATCAAAGAGGATGAAGGAAGGGGAAATAAAGACTAGAGCAGTAGAGACTAGCTAGGAAACTTTGTGACTGTGTATACCTTATTAGCGATATGTATTAGATGTATATTGAAATAACAGATCCCTTCCAGATTATACTTCAAATCTCCTTAATTACACAGGTAGTTCCATTGTTTTTTTTAATATAAACAATGGTCAAGACACCAAACCATAAATAAATGGAAATCATCCAGCTTTTGCCTTAAATAATTTATAAATCAACAGGTAAAATATTATAATTATATAAATATATATAAAGATTGATGTGATAAATGTCTTTAAGAGATAAAAATCTAAAAAAAAATATATAAAATTCTAATCTTCAGTTAAAAGCCCTTTATATTATGTTAGATCCTACATTTGAATTTGGATATTGATGTTAAGACACCAGAAATGTCATTAAATCTACACTTGATCAGAGTATGAGAGGAATTTTACCCATGATTAAAGTTAACGTTCACCTTATTTTAACCTTACCTTAAACATGAAGCATAATTAAAGGCATATTATGTCTTTGTAGATACTGGGAAACTTTGTTCCTGTTTTGAACAAAATATCAACTTTCTTTTGAAATATTTAAGTCCTTTTTTGGTCACCACATTTCATTTATTGGTATAAAACATTTTCAGATATCACTGGAGATGAGTATCTTATAAGAGGATTTTTTTTCCTTTTGGAAGACTAATTGCAATTCACACAAATGAATACATTTTCAAAAACTTTTGGGTTTCCTTTGGACAAACCAAACACATAGCACATGGAGTTAAGAGAAAGAAGGGGAGGAGGAAGAAGAGGTTTTTTTCTTTTTAAAGATTTTATTTATTTATTTGAGAGAGAGAGAATGAGAGATAGAGAGCAGGAGAGGGAAGAGGGAGAAGCAGACTCCCCGCTGAGCAGGGAGCCCAAAGCAGGGTTTCATCCCAAGACTCCAGGATCATGACCTGAGCTTAAGGCAGTCGCTTAACCAACTGAGCCACGCAGGCATCCAAGGAGGAGAAAGAGTTTAGAGAAGGGGTTAGAGGAATAGGGAGAAGCTTACTGCCACGTAAAGCATCCCATCACTTCCCTTCCTGAAAGGTAGTAAGAGAAGCATTAGAGATGTAATTGTATTCCATAGCTTTCTTTAGTGAGAGATCACCAAAAGCCTCTGAATTCAGGGAGATTTGTGGGGGACAGTAAATGTCACAGAGGGTGGTAATGTGGTCATCGCAAATCATGAAGATTCAAAAAACCCTGTGTAGTGTCAACCATACTTTGCATTATTAAAAGCTGCACAAATTACAAAATGATCAATATACAGCATTTTTCTTTGTTGCTTATTTTACAGTTATTTATAATTTTGTCTATTTACAAAGGGAAAGATGTTTATCATAGAATTTTTGAAAATAAAAGTTATAATGAGGAAACCAAGGTCACACATAATCTCACTACTCATATTGGTTAGGATTATTTGGTTGTAAATGATAGAAATCTGATCTGAATCAGCATAACCACAGGGGAAAAAATGAATTTATTTAAAGAAGGTGTGGTGTTTTAGAGAAACAAAATCAGAAACTGCAGGATCTTTGGAGTATATGAAACCAGATGCTCAAATACAGTTAGATCTCTCTGTCTTTTATCCTCATTTCTACACATGGCTTCACCCTGTGTTTCCCCCTATAACTGGACGACTTCTGCTTCTCTGATTCATATGGCTGGAAACACGTTATATTTTAGTTTCAGCCACAGGAAAAAAAATGAGGTCATCAAATCCAACAATGCCAAGGAATGGGGATAGTGTGAGATTTCAAATGCATGCATTTGGAACACTGTGTCCAAGTCAGTGTCACATTGCACACACTTATGGATGCTGACAGTACCCCTGGAGTTGGAAGAAGAGTTTCAGACAGTGGTGTTAGGGGAAGAAAATCCCATAGGTGTCTACCACAAACACTCTTAACATCTTGAAGTACTGTCCCCTGTGCTAGATGACATTTTAAAAAATTCAAATTAATTCAAAAGTGATCTATTTAAAGAAGAAGTGATGTGATAGTATAATGATCAAGCCCTGTTGGTTCATGCCTCCAAATTTCCCAACACTTAAATGTTTTGAAGAGATCAGAGGCAAATTTTACAATCAGAGGTTTAACAATATAGAGATAACTTTTAAAAAGGAGCTGAAAATAAAATGGGACTGCCTCCCATTCATAAAAGTAGTGACTGGTTTAGAGACAAAAAAATACTATACTTTTGGGGCACCTGGATGGCTCAGTTGGTTGAGCATCAACTCTTGATGTCAGCTCGGGTCTTGGTCTCAGGTCGTGGGTTCGAGCCCCACATTGGACTCTGCACTGGGTGTGGAGTCTACCTAAAACAAAACAAAACAAAACAAAACAAAAAAAACTACACTTTCAAATATGTTAAGATGTCTGGAGAAGCCAAAAGTGCTAATAAATAAATTGTAAAGATGTACCCAGTGTTAAAAAAAAAAAAAAAAAAAAAAGAGTAGGGCGCCTGGGTGGCTCAGTTGGTTAAGCGACTGCCTTCGGCTCAGGTCATGATCCTGGAGTCCCGGGATCGAGTCCCGCATCGGGCTCCCTCCTCAGTGGGGAGTCTGCTTCTCCCTCTGACCCTCTTCCCTCTCGTGCTCTCTCTCATTCTCTCTCTCTCAAATAAATAAATAAAAACTTTAAAAAAAAAAGAGTAAATATCCTTAAGGATTTTTATTTCAAAGGAGGAAGCAAGACCCCCAATTTTAAGACTGCAAAGGATCTTCTAACTGTGACACTAGGTAAAATGCCTAGAAACATTTAACTGTTAAAGTGTTTTTATTAGGGTTCTTACTGTTTTTGTTGGTGCTCTGGTTACAAAATTTCATAGGATTTAAGCACACTGCTCCCATCCCTAATTTTGTCATAAATCCCATTATTTTTAGTGTGTGATTTTGTAGGAGGAAGGTTTTTCAGGGACACATACAGTGTTTCAGCAGAAATGATTGTATATGTGTTCCTGCTCTTCTCTTTTGTTATATGTATATCCGCAGATACCCACATGCACATACCACATATACACGCTTACACACATATAGCCATACTGACATCTTTAAAAACATATTTAAATATGGATATTCATATTATTGAATTGTGTCACTCCCCCCAATTCCTAGTTGAAGTCCTAGTCCCAAGTACCACAGAATGTGTTTGGAGATGGATTGTTACACAGGTTATTATGTTAAAATTAGGTCATTAGGGTGGGTGCTTTTCCAATATGACTAGTGTCTATAAGAAGAGGGAATATGGACACAGAAATGTCGAGAAGACAATGTGAGGACCAGGGAAAAGATGGCCATCTTACAAACCATGGTGAGAGGCCTGGAACAGATACTTGCCTCAGGACTCTCAGAAGGAACCAACCCTGCTGGCGCCTTATCTGGACTTCTAACCTCCAAAACTGTAAGAAAAAAAATTCTGTTCTTTAAATCACCCATTTTGGGCTACTTTATTCCCGTAGCCCTAAAAAACTAATACAACTCATGTATCATGTTTATTTCATAAATTATATACTATTGTTTTTATAACCAGCCTTTTTTTTCTTGAACACATTCTGAGCATTTCCTCCAAACTGTATTGTCACTTTTGACAACTACATAGTGTTCCAATTGTTGGATAGCTAAAGTGTTTCAAATTTTACCTTTTTATAAAAGATGCTGTAATAATAAACTTGCGAGTACATCTTTGTTTACACCTGTGATGATTTTCTGATAAATTCCTAGACTTAGAAGTTGTTGGGTTTCATTATTTTTACATTTTAAAATAGTCCTCAGCAATGTTGTGCCATCCGTACATCTACTTATTCCTGCACAGGAGAGCCTAATTCTCCATATTCTGTTAGCTCTGAGCAATTTATTTTTCAAACCTATACAAATTTGATTGTTTAAATAAAAACTCATTGTGCTCTAATTTACAGTTATGTGGTTATTAGGGAAGCTGACCACTTTTTTCTTTTTTTATTAAGTTTTTATTTTTAATTATAGTATAGTTAACATATAGTGTTATATTAGTTTCAGGTGTACAATATAGTTATTCAACAATTCTATACACTGCTCAGTGCTCATCATAAGTGTGTTCTTTAATCCCCATCATCTATTTCACCCACCACCCCGCAGACCTCCCCTTTGGCAACCCTCTATTTGTTCTCTATAGTAAAGAGTTTGTTTCTTGGTTTGTCTCTCTCTCTCTTTTTTTTCCCTTTTGCTCATTTGTTTTGTTTCTCAAATTCCACATATGAGTGAAATCATATGGTATTTGTCTTTCTCTGACTTTTGCTTAATTACTTTCTAGCTCCATCTTTACTGCAACTGGCAAGATTTCATTCTTTTTTATGGCTGAATAATATTCTAATACACACACACACACATACACACACACACACACACACACACCACCTCTTGTTTACCCATTCATCTATTGATGGGCACTTGGGCGGCTTCCATAATTTGTCTACTGTAAATTATGCTGCAATAAACATAAGGGTACATATATCATTCTGATTTAGTATTTTTGCATCCTTTGGGTAAATACTTAGTAGTGCAATTGCTGGATCATAGAGTAGTTCTATATTTAATTTTTTAAAGAACCTCCATACTGTTTTCCACAGTGGCTACATCAGTTTGCATTCCCACTAAAAGTGCGTGAGGGTTCCTTTCCCCACTTTTTTTCTTGATATTTTTTGTCATATGTTCTTGTACCATAAACTCTCCATTGCTATCACTTTTTTTTTCCCTCTTGTCCTAAAAAACCAAAAAGCAAAAACAACAAGAAAAACGTTCACTACTGATACCTGAAGGCCTTCTCTCTTGTCAGCTATTGGCCATACCATGAAACCTTGAATCATGTGGGTTGTGTAGTCAAGAATGACTTAAAGACTCTGGAATTATATTGGCCACATGATACCTGGGTTTACCATGGAATCAGGCTTGATCTTACCTCAAATCGAACTCAGAGAAACACTTCTACAGAGATTTTTATAGATAATTCTCTTATAAAGTTTCTAATTCTGTTACTTCATAATAGCTATCATGACCTATATGTTATATAATGAACAAGTAGATTTGTTAACAAAAGTAGCTGGAGGGAAGAATTTTGGTATTTGTCTTTTCCAGTTCTTTTTGTTAGGACTTCTTGATATTCAGATCTCAGATAAAATATCTAAAGTGTTTATGTTGAAATGAGCTTAGAATTTTTAATTTTTTTAAAGATTTTATTTATTTGAGACAGAGAAAGAGAGCACAAGCAGTGGGAGCAGAAGCAGAGAGAGAGAGGGAGAGGCAGAAGCAGTCTCCTCGCTGAGCAGAGTCCAACATGGGGCTTGGTCCCAGGACTCTGGGACCATGACCTGAGCTGAAGGCAGACGCTTAATCAACTGAGCCACCCAGGTGCCCCCATCTTAGACTTTTTAAAAACGGCCTGTGAGCTTGCTGCCTAGACCCTTTGGCTACCTTGTTGCCTTTTTATTCAAACCAAAACTCAACTCTTCCTCCCAATTCCTCTTGAATGTTTTGAACACTTACTATCCTGCCTTTCAGTATTCTTTTGCTTAGAATAGTCATATTTGCTAACAACTAAAAATGCTGACTGAAGTAGTCAGCCCTGAAGCAATAATTTTGAGGTTGAGAAGGTGCTACATGTGGCAAGCTTTAAATGGTTTGCTGTGGCGTAAGACTTTGGACAGCCTAGGAGTACCTGGGGAATGGGTCATAGGACTTTTAGGAAGTTGCAGGAGGTTAAAAGGGAATTGTGAGACTGCCAAGGAGAGACATCATCCACCTCACAGTTTTGTTTAAAATGACCCTAAATTCATAAACCGAGCAGAAATATTTGAGCAAGTTGAGCACAAGGGACAGAAAAATCTGGGTAGAATCAGAAACAGATGGTGCCATGACATGATCCCTCAACTGGGGTTATGCACCTGAGTTCAACAGACCACTGGGCAAATGTCCAAATGCCAGGCAGATCTGGCTGTCCTTGATAATTAAGGCTAATTAAGTTGTCCTTTCATGTAAGTCCAATGTTGGAATATTCAACATATATTGTAGATAAATCTTATTTAATCTGGGAACATTTATGTGACAAATATTTATTGATCACATAGTAGTTGAAAATTGCAGTATTTACTCTTAAGTATTGTTTTATCTATACCTTGGGGTATATTTGAGTTGAACTGACAGAACTTCTTGACCTCTAAATATTATTAGAGATTTTGAATTCCAACATTTACACTACATAGATACTGACCATAGTAAAATATTGTCTTTTCTTATAATGTTTACTATGCAAGAATATTTTTAAAGATTTCTACAAAATTAGAACTTAGGAAGTAAATTGCAGAGAATTGTAAATTCTTAAATGTAGTCTCATTTGCCCATGAAGAATAAATGACATTTTTCTAAAGTATCACTATTTTCTTATTTATTTCTGTGTCTTCTCCATTGTGTAGTTTGAAGTCACTTTCAAAAGTCTACATTCAGAATATTGAGATAAAATAAAGAAGTTTGAACTTTTTGTGCTTTTCCACTCATAGATGTTTATGTTTCCTATCCTTTATTCATAGAATAACTTTCTTGAAATTAATGTTTTTGTATGTGAATTAAGTGCAGTTACTATTTGCAACACTGAAGACTGATTCTTACACACTGTGTTTCATCTTTGTGGGAAATGAAAAAAAAACTTCATTAAAATGTCTTTATGATTGGTTATATTACATATGAATTCCTCATTTTAGGAAGAGGAGGCACATACATTTCTAGTTCATATATTTAGGGCATATAAAAGTTGATGATAAGAACCCATTCTGGATATGCAGCATTCTTACTGAAAGAAAGGGAAGCTATTTATTTCAAGTGTTTGCTTATTTATTTGTCTGAGAAAATAAAATTGCTTGCATACCTTATTTAAATTATGTAGATCAATTATATTATCCGTTAAATATGGATCGATATTTGCTGGCACATTCAGTGGTTGTGCAAAAAATGTTTATCTGTTTACTTTTTAAATAACTGCTTAACTACCTTCTTTTTTGTTTTGCCCTTCATCTTTTCCTCTTCTGATGAAATGTTTGACACAAGGAATCTATTATAGTAACTCGAATGGAAAACCTCATAAAGCTGGCACCTATAGAAAACGTTTGGACATACATAAGCTATAGTTTAACCTAGATGAACACAAGCATTCTTTAATGTAGTGAGCATGTATTTATGGATTTTTGATAAATTTGTTTGCTTTACAAAAGACTAAGTTTCATCAGCCCTTTGATATATTTGCTCCACTGTTGTGGTAAAAGGTTTCAGATATGTTTGATCTTTCTCACAGGTCTGTGTTCATCAGCTATCACTCAGCTTCTACTTATGCCAATCTTACACTGAAACACAATGTCTTCTGGCTATTGTACTTGATGTAGGTTCAGCATCATCATTAATCAGGCAGAGCCTGCTACCTGTAGAGCACAAGGATCTACTGTGGTCCGTTGTTTAGGTGATGCTCAGAAAACAGAAGGGTATACTTCCAGAGTTGTTGATAAGCTTAATGTCTATTAAGAGAAATCTTATTTCTGCGTCGATGAATGCTTTCTTACAACAAAACTTTTGGTGGTGATACTTTCTGTTACCTAATTTATTTCTTAGAGATGTCATAAAAAATATCATTATTATACTTAAATACTTCTAGCACTTTCTTAATATTGAGTTAATGGATTATTTGTTAATGACTGTAATAGTTCTAGAGATTTTCATAAGTGAAGTCTTTGATTCAAAAGTGAAGTTATAATTGTCTTAGAAGATAATGATTTATAGTGGAAATAATAGAATTAAATGCATATTGTTAACCTGATTTTGTTGTTTATTACAGACCTGATATTCCTGAAGAGGACAGATGAAAGAATTATACTAGACTAAGAGTCTTCTTATTTGAATCCTTTACAGTAACTAGATACATGCACATGTACACACATATGCACACACAAAGAGTAACTGCTTCCACAGTATATAGATCTTATAGAATGACAGTCTAACTCTACATAAAAAACACTTTGTGTGTGGTGTTATTTCCATGTAATAGGGTAAGACCAAGTATGAAAATGGTGTAAAATATCTTGTCAGTTTTCCTCAAACTGGAAAATCAATAAAGATGGAGAAAAGATTGTGTATTATCTAATCTTAAATTGTACTTAAGTATTACTTAAACATCACATAACCTTGTCTTCACTCTGTTGATAACATTCAGACTTAAGATTTGTTAAGATCCTGGAACAAGTAGTTTATTTTTTTTATTTTTGAAAATTTATTTATTTATTTGAGAGAGAGAGTGTGTGTGCAGGGGTGGGGGGAGCAGAAGGAGAGGGAGAAAGAGAATCTTAAGCAGACTCCACACCCGGCATGGAGCCCGACCCTGATATCATGACGTGAGCTGAAATGAAGTGTTGGACGCTTAACCAACTGAGCCACCCACGTGCCCCACAAGTTGTTTATTATAACGTGGTTATTTTAAGTATGGTCAGCTCATTATTTTTAAGCTGTCTATAGGACACATACTCTAAGCACTAAAAAAATCTTAAATGCGTACATAATTTATTGTAAAGAGAAAATTGATTATGAAATGGGCGATTAAAATATACTAATTTGTTATTCAGTGTGATTTTTTTGCAATGGTACTGTAACAAGGCTATATAGAAATCTCTGGGGTTTTTTTCTGCACTGGTTTTATTTTATTTTTTATCAAGTTTTTATTTAGATTCTAGTTAGTTAACATTTACTGTAATATTGCTTTCAGGAGTAGAATTTAGTGATTCATCACTTAAATATAGCACCCAGTGCTCATAACAAGTGCCCTCCTTAATACCCATCACCCATTTATCCCATTCCCCCACTCACCTCCCCTCTGGCAGCTCTCAGTTTGTTCTCTATAGTTAAGAATCTCTTATGGTTTGCCTCTCTCTCTCTCTCTCTCTTTTTTTTTTTCATCCCCCATGTTCATCTGTTTTATTTCTTAAATTCTACATATGAGTGAAATCATATGGTATTTGTCTTTCTCTGACTGACTTATTTCTCTTAGCATAATACACTCTAGCTCTATCCTCATGGTCACAAATGGCAAGATTTCATTCTTTTTGGTGGCTGAGTAATATTTCTCTGTGTGTGTGTGTGTATGTGTGTACATACCACATCTTTTTCGTCATTCATCAGTTGATGAACGTTTGGGCTCTTTCCATAATTTGGCTATTGTATATAATGCTACTATAAACATTGGGGTGTAGGTGCCCCTTTGAATCAGTATGTTTGTATCCTTTGTGTAAATACCTCGTAGTGCAATTGCTGAGTTGTAGTGTAGTTCCATTTTCAACTTTTAGAGGAAACTCCATCCTGATTTCCAAAGAGGCTGTACCAGTTTGCATTCCCACCAACAGTGTAAGAGGGTTCCCCTTTCTCCGCATCCTCGCCAGCATCTGTTGTTTCCTATGTTGTTAATTTTAGCCATTCTCACAGTTGTGAGGTGGTATCTGATCGTAGTTTTGTTTTGTAGTTCCCTGATGTGAGCGAAATTGAGCATCTTTTCATGTGTCTGTTGGCCATTTGGATGTCTTCTTTGGGAAAGTGTCTATTCATGTCTTCTGCCTATTTCTTAACTGGATTATTTGTTTTTTGGGTGTTGAGTTTGGTAAGTTCTTTATAGATTTTGTATACTAACCCTTTATCAGATATGTCATTTGCAAATATCTTCTCCCCCTTCTGTACGTTGCCTTTTAGTTTTGTTGATCGTTTCTTTCATTGTGCAGAAGCTTTTTATCTTGATAAAGTCCCAATAGTTCATTTTTGCTTTTGTTTCCCTTGCCTTTGGAGACATGTCTAGTAAGAAGCTGCTGTGGCCAGTGTCAAAGAGGTTGCTGCCTGTGTTCTCCTCTAGGATTTTAATGGTTTCCTGTCTCACATTAAGGTCTTTCATCCATTTTGAATTTATTTTTGTGTATGGTGTAAGAAAGAGGTCCAGTTTCATTCTTCTGCATGTGGTTGTCTAGATTTCCCAGCACCATTTGTGTCTGTTCTTATGCCAGTACCATACTGCCTTGATGACTACAACTTTGTAATATAGCTTGAAGTCTGGGATTGTGATGCCTCCAGCTTTGCTTCTCTTTTTCAAGATTGCTTTCGCCATTTGGGGTCTTTGTGGTTCCATACACATTTTAGGAGTGTTTGTTCTAGCTCTGTGAAAAATGCTGGTGGTATTTTAATAGGGATTGCATTAAATGTGTAGATTGCATTGGGTAGTGTAGACATTTTAACAATATTTATTCTTCCAATCCATGAGCATGGAATGTTTTTCCATTCCTTTGTGTCCTCTTCAATTTCTTTCAAAAGTGTTTTATAGTTTTCAGAGTAGAGATCTTTTACCTCTTTGGTTAGGCTTATCCCTAGGTATGTTATGGTTTTTGGTGCAGTTGTAAATGGGATTGATTCCTTGATTTCTCTTTCTGCTGTTTCATTATTGCTGAATAGAAATGCAACAGATTTCTTTACACTGATTTTGTATCCTGTGACTGCTGAATTTGTGTATTAGTTCTAGCAATTTTTTGGTGGAGTCTTTCTGGTTTTCTACATAGAGTATCATGTCATCTGCAAATAGTGGAAGTTTGACTTATTCCTTGCTGATATGGATGCCTTTTATTTCTTCTTGTTGTCTGATTGCTGAGGCTACGACTTCCAGTACTATGTTAAATAACAATGGTGAGAGTGGACATCCCTATCTTGTTTCTGACCATAGAGGAAAGCTGTCAGTTTTTCTCCATTGAAGATGACATTAGCTGTGGGTCTTTCATATATGGCCTTTATGATGTTGAAGTATTTTCCCCTCTATCCCTACTTTGTTGAGGGTTTTTATCATGAATGAATGCTGAACTTTGTCAGTGTATTTGTCTGCATTTGTTGAGAGGATCATGTGGTTCTTATCATTTTTTTTAAATTAGTATTGTGTATCATGTTGATTGATTTATAAATATTGAATTATCCTTGCAGCCCAGGAATAGATCCCACTTGACTGTGGTGAATAATTTTTCTAATGTACTGTTGGATTTGAGTTGCTAGTATCTTTTTGAAAATTTTTACATCCATGTTCGTCAGAGATATCGGCCTATAATTCTCCTTTTTAGTGGGGTCTTTGTCTGGTTTTGGAATCAAGGTAATTCTGGTCACAGAGAATGAGTTTGGAAATTTTCCTTCCAAGAAATCTCCATTTTTGTTACCTTCTAGAGAATTTTTTTCTTTCTCCTATGGCTCCAGATTAAAAGAAAAATAGTAACATATAAGAACCTTTTGTCATAAAGGCCAGATTTTCAAATATATGCAAAACATTTTTTGCCAAAATAAAAGCCAAATTTTGCCTTTTTATATGGAAGTGTGTTTTGCATATGAGATATTCTTTATACTCATTTGTAGTGAGATGTTGCACAGGAAGGAAAGATGTAACACAATTTTGAGTAGTATCTCTGTGATTATGAACAGGTATGTAAAAGTATCCTCAAGATCAGTTGGCCATGGCTATAATATTTTCAAGAGAAGAACTGAAGAAATTACCCAGATGATGTAAGCAAAACCCAGGTATCTCAGTTACATGCAGGTTTATCCTGGACTCATTTTGTGTCTGAATTATTTGTAAGATTGTAATTTTCTTACCCTACATGGACAGGATAATCCTGATCTTCCTTTCATTAGATTTTATGAGTTGTATTTTTGACAGAAACATATTTTCTCTTTTTCAAGTAAATTTTGTGGAAAATTATGTTTATGAAAATAAGAAATTAATAGTACTGTTGGCCGCCAACTATTAGCCTGCTGTTTAGCAGCCCTGTATAAATCCCAGGGATCTCCTAAGCAAAGGCTTCCAAGTTTGTGTTATTACCAGAAATTTGTAGTCCAGTGATGTGGACAAATGGGCTAAATTGAAGCCATTAAATTCATTCAGTTTGAGGTCAAAGCCAGATTAAACCCAAACCTCTAAAGGTGAAAGTCAAGTATATTAATTCAATATATCATGAAGCCTCATGAAAGATGGTTCCAAGCCGTTAAAATTTAGTTAAAAATTGAAATATAAATTATTCACCAAACAAGAAAGTCCATAACATGTTCAATTTCAATACATCTATCATCTTCACCCTCTAATAGATTCTATTGCATTTCATTCATAAGAGCATTAAGAAAAATTTGTAGATTGCAAGTATTTTAGAATATGCTAAAGTTTTGCCCAGACTAATGTACTTTGAAAATTTGAATAATTACTTAAAATTAGTTAATCCTCTGCTTGGGAAACCAATGCTATGGGAGAAATATTTCCAGTTACTAAGAGCTTCTTTCTTCCTTTCCTTCTTTTTTTTTTCTTCAAGATTTTGTTTATTTATTTGAGAGAGATAGAGATAGCAAGAGAGAGCACAAGTGGGGAGGAGAGGGAGAAGCAGGCTCCCTGCTTAGCAGGAAACATCTTGTGGGGCTCAGACCCAGGACCCTGAGATCATAACCTAAGCCGAAGGCAGATGCTTAACCAACTGAGCCACCCAGGCATCCCTAAGAGCTTCTTTCTGACCAAAGGGACTAAAAAGGATTTCTGTCTCATTGGTCTGCTTTTTCTTCCACATATACATCTTGGTGTCTCTGTTAGGGTTGAGAAGAATGAGAGAAAAGCATAAATTAAGATATGAGTATTTTCCATATTGTCAGAAATAGGATCATAGCCATAAATGAAGAATATTTAGAAGAACCTGCTGATTAAATTGAAAAAAATATATATATATATACATATATATATAGAGAGAGAGTCTATAACTAATGTTGGGGTTTTTATCATTCTGTTCACTGGTGTATCTTATATACACAGAACTGTCTCTTGAACATTGTAGAGATTTAATATCTGTTAAATGAAAAAGAATATTCCAATAACATAGAAAATATATAAATGAATATGGTAGGCTTCTAGGTATTTTAATCAAATACCACTTGTGGTCTATTCCCATACATTTTTTTTTTCTTCTCTGACCTCTATTTACCAGGAACTACCACCCAAACTAGTATCAGAAACTATATCATAAACTATATCACAGTAACTTGGTTTAAAGTAATCAATGCCTTTCATATCTTGCAAAGGTAAAAGTACGCCTATTCATAGGGTTCTTGGTAGTACATATTTTAATAAGTAGATAAAAATAGTATTTAGAGTTTCCCTATTTATATTAAAAGGATATTCCAGTATCACCAGGATATTAACTTCTTTTGGAGATCTGAATTAATTATTTAAATATAGGAAGTAAAGAAAGTTTAAGATAAACTTTTGTAACAAAACAATACATATGAAGTATTCTTGTCCCAAATCTCAAACCTGAATCTGAACAAATATCTAGATTCACCAAGCATTTTTAAGGAGATATAAAGCAAACTAATAAGAACACCATGAAGATATTTTAAAACAAAATTCAGACCTTAGAATAGGCTGTGAGAAAGTGACCCAAGGTCACCAACAAATTAAATTGGTAATGAAGATAAAAGAAAGGAGAATCTATACATTAAAGGATCTAGCAACTAATGTAATTGGGGTTAAAGATAAAATTTAATGTGTTAAAACTGTCCATGTATATTTCCTGTTTTTTAAAACCTTTTAAAGACTGAACACTAGGCCAAAACTTCTCAGGTAGTTGGAAGTTATCATCCTAGAAATAGAAGCCTGTATCTCCTCCTCCCCTTCACCCATTTTGCCTGCCCCCCCCCCCCCCCACACTCATCCTTTTGGCAACCATCAAGGGTATTTCCAGTTTTTAATTAAGTTTTAAAAACCATATAAGTAATACTGTTTCTGACACTAAATCCAAAATTCTATTATATTTCACTTTACATATCTAAGCAAACTAATAAAGTATATATTTTAAAGATTGGCTGAATTTAAATCTAGCCGACATTAAATAAAACCTTTAATGTAATTTTTGCTAACAAATAAATATTCCCTTTTGTTTTTTTTTTCATAGTGCAACAACCATGGAAAATTATTATATCTCATGAATGAAAGATAACTGACAGGTAGTATGCCCTTGTTAGATATAAACTACAGTGAATCAGATGTCATCTGTCATATTCATGAAAACATTATGTCACTTTGATGATGTTTGATTTATTTTCTTTTGTAAGGTGAATAGCTAGACGTGAATAAATTTTGATTTAATATGTGAAATGAGTAAAAAGAGCACACTACATAATTTATTGATAGTATTCATTTTCATTATGTTTAAGCTTTGGCTCTTATTTTCCTTTAACATTGTAATAAAAAATAATTGTTTTAGGGCGCCTGGGTGGCTCAGATGGTTAAGCGTCTGCCTTCGGCTCAGGTCATGATCCCAGGGTCCTGGGATCGAGTCCCACATCGGGCTCCCTGCTCCTTGGGAGCCTGCTTCTCCCTCTGCTTCTCCCTCTGCTTCTCTC